CAAATCAATTCTCTTACGCCTCTCTTCATTTATAACAAATCGGGATGTTACAAGCACAACTCTGATAATTCTGACTTTGATTCAACGAGAATACACGAATATCAAAAACATATTTTTAGAGTTAATTTGTTGCATAAGTCTTACAAAAGCAGGCTTTACAGTTTTTTTTTGTTTTTTGGTATGAACGTTAACAGGCTTTAGAGTTTTGTGTCAACTATAACTATACAAGACACACTTCTAAAAACAAGCATCCCACAAGATTATAAATTAACAAAAAAAAGACAAGGGATGAAAAATACAAAGACCATTCTACTGTGAGATTTCGTGTGTGAGATACGACATTAATAAAAATAGGATGTTAATCTCAATTTTCTTAATAACCTCCATAACCTTAGTCTTTCACTATGGTTCACTAATTCTAATAAAAATCTCAAAATAGTTTTTTTCAAAATTTAGTTACCCCAGCATACACAAATACAATGGATTAATATATATATGAAATAAATCAAGAAAAACTAATTTGAGTTGTACATTCTATCTACAATAACAAGTGAATTACTGAAAACGGTAATGACAAATCTATAATAGTTTAAAACAAAAAAAGTAACTTAAAACAGAGTAATTTTATAACATTTTTATAACATATAAAAATATTGACTAGGTCATTATTTATTGTATAACGTAAGTAGAAATCCATATAAATATGACATTATCAAACTCTAATAAACTTCACAACAAAAAGCTTGAACATTTAGTCAGAATAATATCATTAAAATTATTTTTCTTAATTACTATTAAACCTTTTAAAGGGAAATGAAAACAAGTATTTTATGTTTAACCTTTTCAGTTCTTCTTTTGTCATGTGAGTTTTTTCTTTCTTTTAATATAATAATATGTTAGAAAGTTTTTTTATTCTCTATGGAAATATTAATTTAGCGAACCATTTTCCTTTTTCGAAAATTTTATAGGTGCATCTAATATTATGGCAAAATTTAATTTTGTTGAGAAAGCAACAAATTCTATTCTAGAAGCGAGTCCTCCAATTAATATTCAGAGAAATGGTATTCTTCCACCAGACGAACATTTTAAACCCTCAGCCTCTAACGATCCTGTTGGATTTTGTCACGAATGTGCATATCATTGTATGAGAAAGGATAGAAAACCGAAGGCTTGTCTTTATTTTAAATGTCATTGTTCTGTAACAAGTATAAGTGGTGGTAACAAATAATATAAATATAAATAAAAAACTATATAATATTTGCCATATAAATTTAATGTTTTTTTTAATTACAGCTATTGACATGTGTTGTAACATCCATAAACCAAAAATTGGGAATTTTGTCGGTTCAATTTAAGTGAATTGGTTTGGGTCGGTTTAGTGGAGAAAGCCCTAAAATCAAGTTTAAAGAGTGCAGCCGTCTTCTCTTTGGAGAATTTTCGAGTTCAGAAGGCTGCAGAGGAGAAAAGTGGAGTTTTTGGAGAGATTTTCGAGTTTTACTGTTCATCGGGTACTGTTCATCGGTACTGTTCATCGGTACTGTTCACGGTACTGTTCATCGGGTACTGTTCATCGTCGGGATTCGCACTGTTCATTGTCTTTCCTTCAGTTTCAATCCATTGTCAAGGTGAGTGCATGACTGTGGGTCCGTGATTTGCTAGATTAGATTTGGTTTGTGGTTGTTCTTGATGAGTTTATGTTTTAATTGTTATTTATGATATTTTGGTTGTTTATGTGATGAATTGTGTGTTTGTGTGGTTTAATCTGGTTTAATTGAATTTAATTGATTTAATTGGTTTATCTTGGTTTAATTGATTTGATTTGGTTTAATTGTGTAATTGAATTTAATGTTTTAATTAAATTGTTTGATTTATTTTCGGATTTAATTAATTAATAATTTAATTAATTAATTGATTTAAAATAATTATTTTAATTATTTTAAAATATGGAAAATTATTATTTAATTATGAGAATTATTTAATAATTGAGAAATTGAGTTTTAATTATTAAAAATTATTTAATAATTGAGAAATGAGTTTTAATAATTATTGGAAAATGGTTTAATAATTATTGGAGTTTATAATAATTATAAATATCTAGTAAATTGCGTAAATGGCTCGTAGGCAGAGTGATTGCCTCACTAAGTATTTATTAAATACTTACGCAACTCCATTCCAATGTGTTGCAGGTAAAAGATTTGTGTGATCGCGGAATCAAGGCTGAAGAGGGGGATGATAGGATGTTTACTGTTTTATTGTTTTGCATTATTTTGCTAGACTTGTTTAATTATTATTTGCTTCCGCTGAGCTGATTTATTTGTTATTGATATTTTATTTATTTAATTTAAAGACCTTCGCTAGAATTGATTAGTATTTATTAAAAAAAAAAAATGTTGGTTGTTTCATGTGTAATGAACTGGATTTAACATATGAATGTGTTGGATATAAATATGTGAAAACTATTAGGTTTGCCATAATAAACCATTTAACATAAATTCTAATAAATTTATATTATTAAAATATATATATATATGAATAAATATATATGTCCAACATAACTTTCTTTTTTATTGTATACACAAAAATTTATAAATGAAAAATTATCCAAAATGGTAATCTTATATTCAAAATAAATGTTTCTTCTTTCGGAAAATGTTTCATATCCGCATTTACGTTTCCATGCAACAACACAACAAGAAACTGTAAAAATCCATTACATTTATGAACTTAATGTAAAATACCAAATAAATTTATTTGTTTATATTAAATTTGTTAAGTACTACACTAGAGTTTTAAAGATGAAACTTTGTTTCAATATAGGCTTAATAACTCCAGAGCTGGCATTATAACGCCCCGATCGTTCCTCCCGGTGAGTCACCCACGCTCTCTCTCTGGACCCGCAGGCCCATCTCGGCCCGTGGGCCTCACCCCTGTCCGACGGCCGGTCCGTTATTTTTAAGAGGCTCTAATGACTTGTTTACTATCCCTGCAATCAACACCCGAGTTTTCCCCGTGTTTTGGCCTCACTCACACGGTTTCGTAAACCACTTCCCGAAAGGTCACCCATCCTTCAACTACTCCAACCCAAGCACTCTTAACTCTGGAGTTACTTATAGACCTTTGACCGAAAAGGTAAGTGCATTTTGTTGACATAGGTAGCCAAATCAATTCTATTAAGCCTCTCCACATTTATCACAAAGAGGGATGTTACATGCATTATCCTCCATGGATACAAGAGTTGATCATTTTAAAATGTATTTTAATTTAGGTCGTTTTGCATATACTTCTAGGTTTTTTATAGAACGAGATAATTTTAGTATTGAGGTTTTTTCTTTATCATTTTATTTTACAGAATTTAAATTTTAAGACGGATGAAATATGATGGAGTGCTAGACTACACGCATTTGACATTGTTAAAGTAAACATGTACATCACAACTAAAATATTTCTTCACTACTTTGTTCTCAGATCCACTCATCTAAGCTACATATTTTTCAGTTGATAGAATTGAGAAAACAAATTAAGTTTTGTTAATGGATCATGCAACCTTGCATCAAGCTTGGATTAGTCACCACAATACAATATCATATTGCAAGAATATGGTAAGCTCTTGGGTTATGAATTTCTGTTCGGAAAGTTATTGCTCAATTTGGTTTGTAGGTGAAAGACTTGCTCATCGAATTTGGACTCAGTCGTTAAAGTCGGAGAATGTTACATATATCTAAAGGTTATTTTGAGTAGCACAACTCTGATAATTCTGACTTTGATTCGAACGAGAATACACGAATATCAAAAACATATTTTTAGAGTTAATTTGTTGCACAAGTCTTACAAAAGCAGGCTTTACAGTTTTTTTTTTTGTTTTTTGGTATGAACGTTAACAGGCTTTAGAGTTTTGTGTCAATTATAACTATACAAGACACACTTCTAAAAACAAGCATCCCACAAGATTATAAATTAACAAAAAAAAAACAAGGGAGGAAAAATACAAAGACCATTCTACTGTGAGATTTCGTGTGTGAGATACGACATTAATAAAAATAGGATGTTAATCTCAATTTTCTTGTTAACCCCCATAACCTTAGTCTTTCACCATCGTTCACTAATTCTAATAAAAATCTCAAAATAGTTTTTTCAAATTCAGTTACCCCAACATACACAAATACAATGGATTATTATATTTTAAAGACCCTCTTACATGAGTCATATCTTTACCTTTGGTTGTGGCAATTGCTGCTATTATATCAAATAAATTTTATGAAGTAAGATCCATTCGTTTATTTATATATATATATATATATATATATATGAAATAAATAAATAAACTAATTTGAATTGTATGATAGTCTAAAAATAGATCCTTTTCTCTACTGCAAATTAACAGTGATGAAGATTGTAATATAAAGGATTCGAAATCCAGAGGACCAGCGTGAAATCTAGGAGATTCAAAACAGAACTAAGACAAGATTGATTGATTTTGGTAACAGGTAACGAATGTAAACGTTGATGTAATTAAAATAAAACAAGCACTAGACCAAGGCAATTCGCAGGAGATTCACGGTTAACAACCAAACAACTATTCAGGGCACAGATAAAGAACAGTCTCGAACTCAAACAAACAGTATGTCAATTCACTTTCGCGTCTTAACAACTTACTCTAACAACCTAGATGTCTAAACTGTCGTTTGAATCTAGCAATTGAAAGCAAGCCGTAAACACAGGTTCGATATGTTCACAAATCGCCTTAGCATCAACTTTCGCAGGCTAAGGACGATTCGCTCACCACAGTTCGTTCTAACAACCTATTGCACTTTTGATGAACAGGTAATCTGAGATCAGAGATCGAGTGATCAATCGATCTAAGCAATAAACTCAACAATGGCGAACCCTATTTGTATTCAGTTTAGTTAACACATGAATCCCTTTGAAAAACCTAGATCTAGCAGGGTGACTACTCAGACATGACGAAACAGCAAACAATGATTGAAACTGAATTCATTGAATCAAATAGAAATAATAGCAAAACAAGGGTTCAGAAATCTTCTCCAAACTGTGAAAAAGAGGTTCGAATTCTTCTCCCTTAGAAACAATGTAAAACTCTGAAAAACGGCGTAGCCTAAACAATGGCTAAATATAGGTCTAAATAGCTCCGGGGTCGACTTCGGTTCAATCCGGTTCGCTGCGGTTCGATCGAGTCGGTTTGCACCAAGTAGATCGAACGGCTGTGATATCATCTGAGCGGGGTTGATCGAACGGCTGGAGATGGACGACGCATGCATGCAGGGGATCGATCGAGTGGCACGTCGTACAATGGGATCGATCGATTTGCTTCTCGTGTATAAGCGATCGATCTTCCTCTTCGAGTATGAGCTCGATCGAACCCCCTCCTGTTGTATGGGATCGATCGAGCTGATTGTCGCGCATTGCATCGATCGACCTGTGGGAAGGGTCGATCGAGCTCCTGTTTGCTCCGTTTTGCCTGCTTTCGCCTGTTGTTGGTCCATGTGACCAAAGCTCTCCCTGGAACGTCTTTAGACCTGAAAAGACTCGATAAAGACTAGAAAGACTCGATAAAACTCGTGAAAACAAGGGTTAGAATGCGTCAAAAATACAAGATATCTTTGTACATTTTATCTATAATAACAAGTGAATTACTGAAAACGGTAATGGCAAATCTATAAATAGTTTAAAACAAAAAATGTAACTTAAAACAGAGTAATTTTATAATATTTTTTATAACATATAAAACCATTGAATAGGTCATTAATCATTGTATAACGTAAGTAGAAACACATATAAATATGACATTATCAAACTCTAATAAACTTCACATATAAATACATAGAGCCATCGCAATGAGAGATGTGGTATTGGCGTTGGAGGATAATGAATGGGCGTTGTCACCAACAAACCTGCTGGACAAAACCATCTGAAGAATGGCTTAAATGCAATCATGATGCTGCCTGCGACACATAATGAAGAGAATTAAAAGGACGTTGTATACTAATAGACCATTTCTCTGTACCAGATAAGAGAAAAAATGAATATTATCGATTATGCATGCACATGTTTCTTTGGATTATGCAAAAAAAATAAAAAGATTATTTGTGCATTAGCCATAGCCAAAGATTATTAAACGGATGAATGAAACAACAATGAAAAAAAGGTGTATCCAAATCCAAACCAAAGAGGTGTGTGAAGAGTGTGTGTATTCGTCTGAGACAGGGAAATGGGCTTTCAAGCGACTTCTCTTCTCTCGTCCTGTCCTGTTAGCTTGGCTGGTTTTCACCTTTGCATGAATCCTAACAGGATGCTTTATCTGTATTCTATTGAATCTGGTGTCCTTATCGCTCATGACTTTTATGGCCCTGGAGATGATGATCAATGTTTGGTTATACCTATCCCTGTCCCGTATAATAGCCATAGCGAAAGGGAGTAAACAGATATAAGGAAGGAATTAATTAAAAAAAAGTACAAACAAACAATGAGAGAAATTGGGAGAACAAATAAGAAAAGTTTTACGATAGGTGAAAAAAAAATATAACCAAATGATCAAATAACCTTACACAACATATATATAGAAGTGCAAAGATATCACTGAAAGGTGCAACTTTTCAACAATTTAGCGATTATAAGTAAAAAGATGTGATTCGAAAAGACATATCCTTTATATACGGTTATAGATAAAACGGTTAAAAAATGAAAAGACACAACAACAAAAGACATTTGTTCAGTTTGCTATTATATATAAATATATATAGAAATGTTTTTAAAATATATTAAAATATAGCAAAAATTCATCTTTGAATAATCCCAGATTTATCTGTGAAAAACTGCTAATTGTGGATCAACAGCTTGATTAACGCCGAGACAAATCTTGGACACATGATTCAACTTCAACACATAGCTTTCTACCGCACTCAGCCTTTTTCCCTAACTCAATAAGCGATATGTATTCCACCCTAAACTTTATACATCTGCATATTTCCCCCCAAACAAATTGATTTTTGTTTATTTCCCTTCAAAACGCAATTTATTTAAAACGTGATTTGGTGAATTGATCACAATTTCAGTTTTTTAATTGAATTTGGGGGAATCAACAGGAATTGATAAGATTTGGTGGAAATCAACAGAAGTTAAAAGTTTGGAGAATTTAGACAGAAGTCGTTTAGTTTGGCCGGTCTGAAACCGACAGCCCAAAATCCTATACTATAAAAGTTGTCTATCTCTTTCCAGCTGACTGCCACGTCAGCACGGGAGAGATGGACACGTGGCATACTCTGAGAAATTTCTCATTTTTTTTTCAGTCTTCTATTTAGTATTTACTTTGTTCCAAACCCGACTTCTGATCTTCTTCAACAATCGAAACATTTTTCATCAAATCCACATTGTTCAAGTGTTTTCCGGAGATGAGACGATTAAGTTCACACTCTTTACCTATGGGAGTCCCGATTGTGAAGCCAAGTGGTTGTTCATCCAATTTCTTTTCTTACTTCTACGCGATCCTTTCTGACGCTAAACCCATCTTCTACCCTGGTATGTGATTATTATCTCTTATGTCTTGCATAAACTATTATCTTTATTTTTTTCCCGATTGAGTTTTGTAACTCTGTGTCTCTGTATACGTCTTTACATCTTAGTCTTCCTTCTTAAAGTTTTTGACAGATCCAACTGTTACCCTAAATTTCACCAAGCCTCCGGCGCTATTAACGATTATCGCGACCACGGAGATGCTTTGCCTCGGTAGCGTTTTCCTGTCTGTTTTGAGATGGTGACGAAAAGGCGATCGACGCAATGTGGAAGCGGCTTTATATCGATTTGGTGATTTTATTTGAGTGTGTGACGATGCAGGAGATGAGATTGTAGAGAAAATACAGAGAGTGTGAAAGAAGAACAAACCGATTTGTCTGATGGAAGTTTAGCGGCTCCTCACACATTTGGGTATTTTTCTCCACAATATCTATCCAATTCGTTTAAACAATTTCAGGTTTAGCTTCATACACTAATGACTTGGCTCCTTCTTTGCGAGCTGGAAGATCAAAACTTTAATTGTTGTTGTTGCTTATTGTTATTGTTGTCATAGTTATAACATGGATTGCTAGGAGGAAAAGAAGTGCGCATAAATTCTACAGACCAAACAATTTTTTTGTCAGGAGACCGAAGGAAGAACACATGATGCTCCCTGACCCAAGTGAGGTGAGCATCTGGGAATGCTAACATTTTCTCTTAATTAGTTCATGGACTGAAAAGCCTTTTCTAACGTTGTACTCTAAACGAGGAGCCTCAAGGAGAGATTGTTTATGATCTCTCTTATGCAATGATTTAAAAACCGGATCGGACCGGCCGGTCGAACCGGTTTAACCGGGAACCGGTGCTTATACCGGCTTGGTTTTAATGGAAAACCGGAAATGTAATTGACCCAAAAAAACCAGTAAAAAAACGGCAAAAACCCAAAAACCGGCCGGTTTGATTAATCTAGTAAACCCGGTTTCAGTATGATATCAGGAAAAAAAATCAGAAAATCGAATGAACTATTTTGCAGAAATTTAGCAAAGAGGAAGGAGGAAACCAGAAAATTGAAGATCTAAGAAAAACAATAAGGTTGAAAAAACCATTTTACAAAAACTTAGCAAAGAGAAAGGAGCAACTAAAGAGAAGAAAGAGGGAGGATGTACGATGGGCGGCGGCAGAAGGAAGAGGGAAGAAGAAGTAGGGTAATTTCTTTAAGTAATTCATGGATGGAAAGTATTAATAATAAACAAATATGTAAAAGTAGCAATCAACGCCTCCGTGGAGTATATCCTTAAATATTACTGTCCAAGTGTCCATATATACATATATATTAATAAAATAAAAATATATATTAAAAACCCGGTTGAACCGGTTCGACCATGTTGACCCGTGAACTAAAGGTCTTTCCGGTTCATCCTCCGGTTCGGTTTTTAATTCATTGCTCTTATGATAAGTTTTTGAGACGACAGAGAGGGGGTGATTGGTTGTTGCTCTAGCTTTTTTTTTTGCTGTAGAGTTTTTACTTTATGTTTTATGGATGTGGCTGTGAAATTGTTGCTTTAGGATATTAACTGCAGGATTTTAGTAAAAAAGGAAATAGGTAAATATGGAAAATAATAATAAGGAAAAAAGTAAAGAAAAAAACAATATATTTGGAAAGAATCAAAGAGAGAGAGAAAAGAAATTCAGAGCCTTTAAAATTATGCTCTAGAAATTTTGCTCTGCAAAACTAAAAAAGGAAGGAAAAATAAAAAAATGAAAGAAGGCGGTAGGTTTTAAAAAAATGTATAGAGCATGATTGGTGATCTATTTGGCTTTAGAATTTTTTTTTGCTCTCTACAGCTTCTACAGCCACAACCAATACAGGACAAAGTCATCGTTTATTTACTCCAACTTTTTTTTTTCCTGATAAAAATGTTTCCTTAAATTTTTAGTGAGTGGAGCAATTGTGTGATGTAGTTTGTTTACTGGTCTCCGCTTTTGTATGAGCACTTAGTTTAACCTTTTTTCGTTATGTGGAGTGAAATAATTTGATTCCTTTCGCTTCTAACCAAATATATGCAGGAATAATATGAGGAAACAAAGTAATAGCAGATTGGATGACGGAACTTCAGCGACTTTTAGGCTCATTGATCAATCCATCTAAGACACCTTGCTTGCACGCTATAGAAAAAGATCCAACAATTTCCTTTCTCTGTGGTTCACCTCCGAGTAATTTTTGTATCTGAATCTCCTCTGTTTTCTTGGACTTCTCTAATGAATTTTGGCTTTGCACCTACTCTAGAGAAACTTAGTACCTAGGCATAGCTATTTGTATAGGAAGCGCCGAAGCGTTCCATTTTGGTAAATTAATTCACAAATTTGGGAAGGAACACTACAATGAAACGAAAGCAAACTTTTTTGTAGCTCAAGGATTTGTCTGTTCTTCTTATTTTTAGGATCCATCGAGAAGGGTTAAGAGATGTTTTAAAGTAAGTCATAGCCAATAAAAGCACCAAGGATGGGGTTACTTTACACAACATAGGACATGGAAGATGCTACACATGATTGGAATGCCACTGTTTGTGCTATTACTCTGTTTTGGTATTTAAAGATGGCTCTGATTTGTTCTCATTCTGATCTTGGGTTTCTGTGTGTCTTCAGCTGAGCGTCACATGCTCTTTCATGACAATAATGTATTTGCAAATCCGAAGGAGAAAGTGGCGACTTTCTCAACGAAGCATTTCAATGAGGAAGAGAAAAGAGAGTGATGTGTTGGGAGAAAGTTCTGTTCAAATATACCAAATGGAATTAGCCAGGGAGTGCAGATATTCGTTTCGGTAAGTTCTCAATCCATTATATTATATAATACACTATTTTCGTACCGCTTTCACATTTCTCAATAAGGAGGAAGTCCGGATATGAGTTCAAAACGAGAATCTCATTTCTGAAAATGCGTACCTCATAACTCCACATATATCTTTCACCCTCTACTTTTTGTTCTTTATCACTGAGCCCATGAGAGAGGTTCAATTTGCAGGTAAGCTTCTTCATGTCTTTGATAAGGGTAATTGCAGGTCACTATCCAACGTAACTTGAAGCAAAAGTTTGATGATGAGAGAGAATTTGCGGCAAGGGGGGATGAGACTTTGTCAAAATCAGAAGACCGTTAAACTCGGATGTTGGAGTGATGCCGGTTGTCAAGCTGGAGAATGACCAAACCTAATCGCGGAGCTGAAACTGGAATACAAAAATCTTCTTTCATTTGTAGAATTTGTAAGAGGAGGCCCAAAGAAGAGATGATTCTTCATATATGACTGAGTCGTATATTTTGATCTCATGGAGAGCATGTTCTTTGTTAAATTGCTGCAAGCTTTGTTCCCTGTAACTACCTATGACTTAACAATTAGTCATTTAGGACTCTTAGCTTGAGAATGCTTACTTGATTGTCAGACTTTCGAAACATAAAGCAAAAGTTAACGCAAAACTATAATATTAAAAATTAAACAAAGTAATAAAACCATACGGAAAAATTGTCGCAAACAACCCCGGCGCATGCGCGGGGTTTCAAAACCTAGTTAATAGTTATAGTTGGGAGATTAATATGCATTTTGTCCTTAGTTTAAAATGACTAGAACTTGACAATTTGTCCATATATAGTTTCCCGGTAAGTGTCCACTCATGTGCATTTTTGTAGGTTCCTCGTAAATGTTGATCCCAAAAACTATTATTTTTTTCTTTGATCAAGTAGCATAATTATCAAGTTTATTTTCTTATAACTTTTTGCTTAACCTATACTCTCTCTCTGCCATATTGAAATTGTTTCAAACATTCATATTATTTTTTTCTTTGATCAAGTAGCATAATTATAAGTTATTTTTAATAATGTTTTTGCTTAACCAATACTCTATCTAGCTCTCCCTATATCGAAATTGTTTCCAACATTCACATAAATCTCAGATGATTCACTTATTATTATTTTGGTTTTACAAGTTGACGCATCACTCAACCTCTATACCATCTTGCACACCAGCGAAATTGATTGAATATTTCGGCTGTTTATTAGGGAAAAACAAACCAAAATTCTTCTCGTACTCAGGATTCTTCTGATTCTCATCGTACATGGCGAACAAATACGTCTCCACGCCTCTTCCAGGTCTCTTAGGTGTCCCTCTATTCTCCCTCACACGCGCCGCAAGATTCGTGTTATACGTTCGTGCGTTTTCGAAAGTCGCTGCGGTTCCTCCGTTTGAAGGCCATCCGCTCTCGGAAACGACCACCGGCAGAGAACCACCGCCTGATCGCTCGACGGCAGAGTAAACAACGTCGAGGATGGCGTCGAAGAGGTTTTGGTAGCCGCGAGATCCGTCCCAGACGACGACGGAGGGAGAGGTTAATAGAGCGTAAGAGAGAGAGATGTCTCGTGGGTTTCCGATGTAGCTGAAGTATGTGTAGATGTTTGCGAGTAACGCCGAGTTCGTGCTCGTTAGAAACCTGATCAAATCGAATAAGTTAAGAAATGGATCACTCGGTTTTCAAAGAAACTACACACCCGTGCAAGAACCGATTTTTTTGCCGTTTTGGTTCGATATTAAAAACTAAATATATTTTTGAAAACCCAATTTATTTTATGTTTATAAATTTGAAAACTACATCTCCTTTTTGTTATTTTTTTAAACTACACTTTTTAATATGTAAAACACTTTTTATATATTAATTGAAGAAATCATGTAACCAAGGGGATTCTTATTTGTACAAATGGTACTTCGAACTTGGAACGAGCATGAAGAAATTCACGATACTTCTTTATCTTTTGAGTTGTTCTGCCGGATCGGTCGCTCAAGACCTTTGGTCTCTGCCCGGACCCGATGAAAAAAATAGGATCACTTCTTATGGATTCATTGAGAATGATTCGGATCTAGTTCATGGCCTACTAGAAGTGCAAGGCGCTTTGGTGGGATCCCCACGAACCCTAAATACAAAACCCAAACCCAAATACTTCAATTATAAACCCTTTAAAATCATTTTTAAATTTTTTTAGAAAAATATCACTTATTAGTACTTTTGAAAAATATAAAATTTAGTTTAAGGGAGTATCTTTTGGTAAAATAATTTTGATTGAAAAAAATATAATTTTCAAAAGTTTTTTTTTTTTGAATATTATGTAAAATTTATTCAAAAACCAAACTTTTGTACAAACATGTGTAAACTAGTGTTTGAAATTGTTAATGGAGAATACAAGAAAGAGATTCATACTAAGATTCATACTAATTTTATCAAAAGAAATTAAAAGAAGAGTATTTTTCAAATTTAAGATCAAAAAATATTCATGCAAAACAAGCAAGAACTTTTATTAATTAAATTAGGTAAAAGCTAAGAATTTTTGTCTTTTTGCAAAAACATTAAATTGTGTTCTGTTTTCTTGTTGAGATGTATCAATAGCATGATGATGATCTAGAGACTAGAGTCGATGCTAATATAGATACGTACCCGATGATGGGATCGATATACCACCTAACGTCGCCGCGAAACTCTCCGGAGGAAGGAGGGAAAGAGTTTCCAATCAAAGTCATATCAATGGCCGTAGAGACTTTAATCCGATCATGAAGATTCGCACCACGTAAAGCATCATAAACGTTACGCATGGCAGGGAGCACTTGATCGCCGCCGTTAGACGGAACAACTTCGTTACCGACGGCGATGTACTTGAAGTTAACGGCGGGGTAATAGTTAAGGACGTTGTTCTGGAGCCACGACCTAGCGGAGGAAGGGTCAGCGATTGATCGGAGGTCGGAGTTTGGTACGCCGACGATGACTTCGATGCCTGTGTCTCTGAGAGCGTTTAAAGCGTCTTGGTTTGGGTCGAAGAGACGGATTCTTCGGATGTTGTTTTGTCTGAAGAGAGCGATTGTGTCTTGTTTAGACGGAAGGTTGTTCCCCATCATTCCATAGCATACACCTACTGGTTCTCCACCTGGTTTCATCATTTACATTAAGCATATAATTAAGTTTATAGTTAATTAATTACAAAACAAAGTTTATAGTCAAGAAAATAACTAGACGTGTGGTAAGAAAGAGAGAGAGAGAGAGAGAGATACTTGTTGGATTTAGAGTGGTTGCGAATAGAGCAAGAAGGAGAAACATTTGGATCATTGGTGACATTAGTGACATCAAAGTCGGAGTTGATGCGGTATAAGCTCTTAAAATCTATTGATTATGTGGTTATTGTCTAATTGGGTTTGTGCTTAGCTTTTTATATACTACATAACATTGGCATACGTACGTACTTGGGGTTTTTTAATATTTAAATTATGGATGCGTATGGACTATGGACTGTATTATATATGTTGAATTCAGTGACATATAGCTTTGATTAAATTATTCAGATCAAGTAGTTGAGTAAACAAGGTCAGCTTGAGTGCAAATATAAGTTTATCAATTTATGCAAAATAGAAGTTCTTATCCAAAATTGGGTAGAGAAATGTCTTTTTCCAACTCGAGAAAAGAGAGCATTGTTTATATTTTCCAAAATTGACAAATAAACCGGCTATTTTTTTTTTTTAACCGGCTATTTTTCTGTTTTCAGTTATACGAAATTTGATTTATTTGACTATATATATATATATATATATGTCTATACTCTATATCAATAGTTATTAATGTTCTACGAATGACGAGAAACATATTTAACTAACAACGGACCGATCTAATTCGTAAAACAAACTTCACCAACCACAAATATGACAACATTTGGTATTTTTTTTACGTGTAAAAACCTCTAACTTGTGAAATTTAGATAAGCTCCCAACTCCAATCATGACTTGGTACCTGATTAATTGACTTTTATGGTGCATGTGGACGAACGTGATTTTTTAGCTAACGTTAAATTTCCATTATTACCATATGAAAGCAGCCCATGCGAAAGTTACAATCGTCATTATTTAAATAGATTCGTCTGAACATAAACTTCAATTCAAATATAATTTCAACATAATTCAATGTGATCACGTAGTAACCACATCGTTTTTAAATTAATTTTATCGAGAAGATTAGAGTAGTCAACATTTTTATAATATCAAACATTCACACGTTATAGCCAGCAAAGTTTACAGCAGCCGGCGGCTATAGAATACAGACTAGTAGCTTACCAATTTGCCAATTTTCCAGTTTCCACGTATTCAAATTTCGACCCGTAGATTACGACGAATTTTCAGATCGGCCCCACATAAATCAACAAATTCATAATTAGACCCAATTGAAAACAAATTGATCAGAAAAGACCCCGAACTCGAGAAAACAAGCTCCCCACAGTATTCATATTTAAGTACACAAAAACTCGAAACTGAGAATGTATTAAACACTTAAAGAGGAAGTCACGTTACATAGGGGACAAAAATCAAATCTTGTACAGTTTTATTCTCTCCAACGGTGACTACAATTTGGGTTGCAGCAAACGAAAAACAGAGTCATTCCTTCTTCTCCTCTAGCCGTGGCCTGCAAATTCAAATGAAACACACACACACACACACACAAGCTTATATAAAACCGAATAACAGTGTACAAGTAGCAACACCAAAGTTTTGATCTTTAAGTTAGATCAGAGAAAAGAAAAAAAACGTTTCTTTAGTGCTTGACTGGTAACGAATTAAGGACCAAGCTTTTATTGACCTGGAAGAAGACAGCTTCGCCATGTTGACACTTGGCACAGCGCACGGCCTTAGTGCGGGGAAGAGTTGGATCAGAAGCAACGTCAGATAGGATCTGAGTTTGTTCACTCACAGAGTGATGTACCTCGTTTCGGTACACGCAGTTGTTGTCCGCTGCTTCCTGCAAACCAATGGCCACATACATGTTGTAGATTCATAAACACAGCTAACAGTAACCAATCCGAGCTAAGTTGCAATACATTCATATAGGATCTAAGATGGATACTGTTGAAACTCATATGCATAGACCCTCTAAATGCTGTAGTCTTGCATTTGTGCACAAGGTCTCTCTCAAAGAAGTCGTTACTTTTATGTACCAATTAAGTTCATGACCTGAAACAAGCACAATGAGCTACATTCTGGATCTAAACTAGTTGATATTCTCATTTCTCGGTTAAGTTTCAACATCTTACAAAGAGGAAACATGAGGTTATCAACAAAAGAGTTTCAACTAAAGAATATTGACTTAAGCCATGACTTGTAAAATTCCATTTACCAATTTTTGCAACGCATTGAGCCATGAAACCCTAATTTTAAACTAAGAAAGCAAAACCAAGTTTACCTGGTGATCACAGTTACGGCACGCGTAGAGGAGGATCGATTGCTCCTTGTCTTCCTTTGGGTAGAGAATGTTATTACTGAAATTTCCAAAACCGAATTGATAATCAAAATCAAACCACCAAAAGCCCGTAAATTTCGAACTAGGTTCGATACCGAATTCGAGACGAACTAAGAGATGTAAAAACCCAAAATCAAATTTTGAAAAGAGCAAAAGAAGAGACTCGTTTTACCATTCGCGACAAAACTTCATAGTACTCATCTTCGCCGAATCTCTTTAGCTGACGAGTTTTCCTGATTTTCACTCTCAGTGTCTTTGGCGGGATCGGTTCACTCGGAGAGGAGACGAATGGGAGACGAATGAGGTCAAGCTCTAGTAAAGAGAAAGCTGTCTCTAGTGGCAATCGATTGTAATTTATCAGACTTTCTCGGGCATTTACACACTACGTTACTCGTAAAGCCCATGGACCGGCCCATCGGCCCATTCAATATTTTAGAACACGTTGATTTAAATAGCTTTATAGTATGTGGTAGTGTTTATTTACAAATAAAGAAAAAAAGAGAAAGGACCACTCGACATAAATTTGACCCTTTCTTCATTCAAGTCTAACGTACTTTCTCTTTTCCTTTTCACAGTAACTACTACCACATGCATATCCTCCATGCACCCTTAACATCATTCTGTAATTATTTTGTGCATACACAAATTCAAATATTTACTATTCTAATATAAAATAATGAAATAAACAAGCATAATGTTCAGATTCCAACTATTGAATTGGTCCGTCTCTTAACTACTCCTGACTCAACACTGTACACAGTACACTATACCGACACTTCTCTACATGTCTTTTTTTTTTTGCCCCTCTTCAGTCATTACAGTTTGCAACTCTTTAAGTCCTTTTCCTACTAGTTACAACTTTTTGATAAGTACTAACAAAGAAAAGACAAATAAAACTAGCCAGACACTTTTTGCAAATTTGTTCACTTTCTGTTTTCTCCTAGTCTCTGTGTACATGTCCAAGTCAAAATGATTTGTTTTGTTCATATTATACTGTAAAATAACAACAACAGCAACAAAAAGCATAATCCAAGACTTATAAGTGACTAATACACTGTAATTCTCTTCAAACTTTTACTGATCATAGATTTTGTCGTAGGCGATATGTAACCATATATATATAACAAAATTTGTTGGATGAATTCAATATTCATGTATAATCCGTAACTGGGTTGTTGTAGTGCACATGCAGTCATGCAGTCACACACATACATACATATACGTGTTTATGTATGTGCCTGTCTTTATACAATTAATTGTTTCTATAAATATGGACACACACAACCTAGCTTCCTAAAAGGAGTACCAAACTTCATTGAATGTTAAAGCTCAAAGAGAAAATCGAGAGTAATCATATGACGATGAAGATTCTCTTTAACTTGTTCCTTATGCTTTACGCTGCAACGCCAATCGTCTCACTCTCCGAGAATCCAACCAACTTCAGTAAGACTAATTGTGAAGAGGGAAGTGGAGAAACCGGTTCAGGCTTCGGTATAGGGTTCGGTTTGGTTCTTGATTTCGGTTTATACCGGAGTACATGCCCGGAAGCAGAGTCTATCGTCTACTCGTGGGTCGAGACCGCAGTTTCACAGGATCCAAGAATGGCTGCTTCTCTTCTCCGTCTTCATTTCCACGACTGTTTTGTCAATGCAAGTAATTTCGAAACCGTCATGAAACCGGAAATTAATTAATGATGCTGGCTAAAACGTGACAAATTTCATATCGGTACCGGTTAAGTAGAGCAAAAGTATGAACCGGGATGTTTTTTTTGTCATTACAGGGATGTGATGCTTCGGTTTTGTTGGATGACACAGAAGGATTGGTCGGTGAAAAAACGGCGCCTCCAAATCTTAACTCTCTTCGTGGATTCGAAGTGATAGATTCGATAAAGTCTGATCTTGAATCTGTATGTCCAGAGACTGTCTCATGCGCAGACATTCTTGCCATGGCCGCTAGAGATTCAGTCGTTGTGGTAATCAAACCAGTTTCACAATTCCTAACCATATGAAATTAGCATAAACCGGTTTTGATTTTTAACATTTTGAAATCGTGTTTTTTGAAGTCCGGTGGACCAAACTGGGAAGTAGAAGTAGGAAGAAAAGACAGCAGAACCGCAAGCAAACAGGCAGCAACAACTAGCTTACCTTCACCAAACTCAACCGTACCTACTCTCATCTCTACATTCCAAAATCTCGGCCTTTCCCAAACCGACATGGTCGCTCTTTCCGGTAATACATTCTCTGTTACTTAGATCAACCGGTTTGAAAGAAACCGAAGATAATGAAATTTGTGACCATGTTACTTAGGTGGACATACATTGGGAAAGGCACGGTGCACTTCGTTCACCGCTCGGTTGCAACCGCTGCAAACCGGACAACCGGCTAACCATGGAGAGAACCTAGAGTTCCTGGAGTCGCTACAGCAGCTGTGCTCGACGGTGGACCCAGCTGCAGCTATCACTCAGCTTGACTTGGTGACGCCGTCAACATTTGACAACCAGTACTATGTTAACCTCATCTCCGGTGAAGGGTTGCTTCCGTCAGACCAAGCTTTGGCGGTTCAGGACCCAGGGACGAGGGCCATTGTTGAGACCTACGCAGCGGATCAGTCGGTTTTCTTCCAGGATTTTAAGACGGCTATGGTTAAGATGGGTGCGATAACCGGTGGTGGTAGTGATGGCGAGATTAGGAGGAATTGTAGAGCGATTAACTAAAGAAAATGATTGAACCATTCATATTCACCACCACACTAATCTCTATCTATATAAATAGAAATTAAATAAGTCTACACAGGACTTTGGTTGTACGAAACCATGAATTAGATGAAGTCTCAAGGATTAAGAGAGATGGTTATATGATGTATACATATTTTGTTTATATTTAGGAAAAAAGTTCAACAAAACCGAACAAGTGAATAACAACGGACTAATAATGAACAGAGAGAATTTTTTTTTTTTTTTTTAAAGAGAGAAATCGGCGACGATTCCGTCGGTGAGCTCAGAAACCGAACAAGGAAACCTTAGAATCCAAATCCGATCGTCATCGAGGAATGTCGTTCTCCTCCCATCATCTCATGTTCGTCTGGTCAAATCCCACCGGAGAGTGAGGATTTATGGCGGCGATGTTAATCAGAAGGGCTTTTAAATCAGCAAAGAGCTCTCACTTGGTCGTTCGTGCTCGATCCTTCTGTGGCGCTCGCTAAGGGCATTGCAGCTGAATGGGAGTATCAGGTTTGCTCAATCCCCAAATCTCAACATTTTAGTCGACAATCATAATCAAATCCGAGCTGTCTAGCTTCATAAAATTCACTGCTTTAGGCAAATTTTCTAGTCTTCTGAAGCTAATCAATACTGGGTTTGATGGAATTGGATCCGTTCTTCGATTATTCCACTTTAAGCTGAGAGTTTGCTGTTGTTAGTTTATATCAACGAACATCGATTCTTCTTTATAGTCTTTAGTGTTTGATCGGCTTATAGGTTTTGCGATCTGAGTGGAAGTGAAACTTGGTTCATGAGATATATAAAGCACTAGACTTGTTATGATCAAGAGAGGCGTACCGGAAGCAATTGGCTGAGACGATGAATCTGAATCACACTCGGACCCTCGCCTTGAGGAACAAACCTCAAGCTCCAGTCGAATTGCTTCCCAGCGACCACTCTGCTTACCTTCACCAACAACCCAAATCCGTTAAGCTTCTAGATACACTCCTCATGTATGTTCATCTTCTGTATATGTTATTGAGTTTTAAAACGTCAGATCAATACCAAGTAGATGTGGATCTTCATCTTCAAACTTTACGTTTTATAGAGCATTGTTATTAGGCTGACTCATTTTGTTCCTTATGACAACGAGCTCGTGTTTCCAACAGGGATATTCATCATTGGCTAGCGATACTATGCCTGATTGAAGTTGCTAAGATGTACGACGAGCTTGCTGGAGTCTCTCACAAGGTGAGACTGAAGTCTTACAAGTTTCCCCGGGAAGCTTCCTATTTGCATGAAAAAATGTTGAATATTTCAAACTTGTAATGCTTTCCATGACTAGTCAGTCTGACAAGTTTGAAGTTTCAAACATTTATTCATGCAAATAGGAAGCTTCCTGGTCTTCCTAAATAATCTCATAAAAGACTATATACTGTAACTGGGTCTGATGGTTGGAGACTATTCCGTTAGACAATTGGACGTAACCAAATATTGAAGTTAGAGGTTTTGGGTTTGGCTTTCGTTTCATCCACAAGGTAATTGATCTCATCTGGGTTGCGTTCGATTTATCTCTTTGTTTCTGTACGGACTTAGTTTGCTGTTGTTCAGGTCCTCTTTGGAATTCAATTCTGTAGATAGGCGTTTTCTTTGTTTGATTTGTATGATTCTGTTTGGGCAGGCACTGGTCCGCAATGGCACTGATTCGAAAAGCTCGCGAGGAGAGATATCGTCTTCTCGAGATTGAAAAAAGCAATAACATTGTGGGAGGAAGAGCAAGTATTCAAGGCTGAATCTCGCAAGGATTCTCCAAAACCAGGAGAAAAGTTCTTCTCGACCTTCCCTTTCCCGTATATGAATGGTTATCTACACATTGGGCATGCCTTCTCACTTTCCAAGATCGATTTTGCTTCTGCTTATCATAGACTAAGAGGCGCTAATGTGCTCCTTCCATTTGGCTTCCACTGTACTGGAATGCCAATTAAGGCTTCTGCGGACAAGCTTGCTCGTGAGATGCACGAGTATGGAAACCCTCCTGATTTCTGCTGCCACCAAACAAGCTCCTGAGGAGAGAGCTGGATAGTGATACACCAGCTTTGCCGGGTCAGTTCAAGGGAAAGAAGTCAAAGGTAGCTGCGAAATCCGGTGGACAGGTTCATCAGTGGGAGATTATGCGCAGTTTTGGCCTCACTGACAGTGAGATACGAAATTCCAAGATCCATACGAATGGTTGTATTACTTCCCTCCATTGGCTGTTGAAGATCTCAAGGCGTATGGATTAGGTTGTGATTGGAGACGGTCGTTCGTGACCACTGATGTTAATCCGTTTTTCGATGCCTTCGTGAGGTGGCAGATGAGGAAGTTGAAATCTATGGGGAAGATTGTGAAAGACCGTAGGTACACGATATTCTCACCTCTAGATGGGCAGCCTTGTGCTGATCACGACCGTGCTACTGGTGAAGGTGTTCAGCCTCAGGAGTACACTCTTATTAAGATGGAAGTAGTGAAGCCGTTTCCTCTGAAGCTGGTCCTTTGGAAGGAAAGAGAGTGTTTTTGGCTGCAGCTACTTTGAGGCCTGAGACCATGTATGGGCAAACAAACGCATGGGTGTTGCCTGATGGGAAGTATGGAGCTTATGAAATCAATGAAACTGATGTCTTCATCCTTACTGAGAGGTCTGCACTCAACCTTGCTTACCAGAACTTTTCAAAGATCCCTCAGAAGCCTTCCTGCTTAGTTGAGTTGACAGGGCATGATCTGATTGGACTCCCTTTGAGGTCTCCTCTGGCAGTGAACGAGATCATCTATGCTCTGCCCATGTTAACCATTCTGACCAACAAGGGTACTGGCATTGTCACCAGCGTGCCTAGTGATGCCCCTGATGATTACATGGCTTTGCATGATCTAAGTGCAAAGCCTGCTCTTCGAGCAAAGTTTGGTGTGAAAGATGAGTGGGTGCCCTCTGAAATTGTGCCGATTATCAACATTCCGAGTTTGGAGATAAGGCTGCCGAGAAGGTCTGCTTGGATCTGAAGATTAAAAGTCAAAATGATAAGGAGAAGCTTGCAGAGGCCAAGAGGTTGACGTACCTGAAAGGATTCACCGAAGGAACTATGCTTAGGAGAGTTTGTTGGTAGGAAAGTTCAAGACATTAAGCCCATTATCAAGAAACAGCTCATAGAGTCTGGCGAGGCATTATATACAGTGAACCGAGAAGCCGGTCATGTCAAGATCGGGTGATGAATGTGTTGTGGCTCTTACAGATCAGTGGTACATAACGTACGGAGAATCAGAATGGCGGCAAATGGCTGAGGAGTGCTTATCAAAAATGAATCTCTACTCTGAAGAAACAAGGCATGGATTTGAGCACACTTTGAGCTGGCTCAATCAGTGGGCTTGCTCACGGTCTTTTGGTCTTGGAACTCGATTCCCTGGGATGAACAGTTCCTTGTGGAGTCCTTGTCTGATTCCTCTCTTTATATGGCGTATTATACAGTTGCCCATTTCTTTCACGATGGAGACATGTATAAAGGGAGTAAGTCTTTGGTTCGCCCTCAGCAGATGAATGATGAAGTTTGGGACTATCTCTTCTGTGATGGTCAGTACCCAAAATCATCTGACATTCCGTCAGATGTTTTAAGTGAGATGAAGCAGGAATTTGACTACTGGTACCCACTGGATCTTCGAGTTTCAGGAAAGGATCTTATTCAGAATCATTTGACGTTTTTCATCTACAACCACACTGCACTAATGGCGACGTAACTGGCCACGTGGCATCAGATGTAATGGTCACATCATGCTGAATTCTGAGAAAATGTCAAAGTCAACTGGAAATTTCAAAACCCTGCGCCAGGCTATTGAAGAATTCTCTGCCACTGCTACGAGGTTTGCTTTGGCTGATGCTGGTGATGGCGTTGACGATGCAAACTTTGTAACGAAACTGCAATGCTGCAATTTGCGGCTGAAAAGAGCTCACATGGATGGAAGAAGTTCTGGCTGCTGAATCCTCTTTGAGAACGGGCCCTCCATCTACATATGCTGATAAAGTGTTTGAAAATGACATGAACATTGCTATCAGATTGACTGAAAAAGCCTACGAAATTGTTTGTTTAGGGAGGCACTTAAGAATGGGTTTTACGACTTGCAAGCTGCTCGAGATGAGTATAGGCTCTCTTGCGGCAGTGGCGGCATGAATCATGACTTGATACTGAAGTTTATGGATGTGCAAACACGCCTCATTGAACCAATCTGTCCTCAGTTTGCAGAGCATGTTTGGAGGGAACTTTTGAAGAAGGAAGGCTCTGTGGTAAAGCAGGCTGGCCAACATCAGATGAGCCAGATTTGGTTCTCAAGGTGCTAACAAATATCTGCAAGATTCTATCATCTTAATGAGAAAGCTTCTACAGAAACAGCTCTCGGTTCCAAGAAGGCACCTAAGAAAGGTGCTCAAGTAACAGTAGTGGCAGAGGCGAAGATGAAAGGCCTAGTATATGTGAATGAGGAATTTGATGGATGGAATTCACTGCCTCGAGATTCTTCAAAGGAAATTTGACCAGCAAACCGTACTTTTGCCCCTGATGCAGAGATACTTGGAGAACTGAGGGAGATTATGCAGAAGGATGGAGAAGCAGAGAACTTCAAGCAAATTCAGAAGCTTTGCATGCCTTTCCTGAAATTCAAGAAAGGACGAGGCAATAGCTCTGGGTAGCAGGCTCTGAATTTGAGGTTACCTTTTGGAGAGAAGGAAGTCCTTGAGAGTAACGTGGAGTTGATCAAGAGGCAGCTTGGTCTTGAAGAGGTTGAAATACATTCTGCTGCTGATGTTGATTTAGCTGGTCCACATGCATCACTCCTGAAGCAGAATCCTCCATCTCCAGGCAGTCCAACCGCCATCTTTGTTAACAGGTAAAAGCTAGTTATATTACCATGACAAATCTTAATACAGTTGACAGAATCAGTTGATACTCTTTTATTCTCATCAACCAAAGTGAACTCCTTACCGCTCTGTTTGTCTGTCCTCCGACCTAAGAATTTTCTCCTGCATTACAGGTAATTCGAAAGAAAATCGTGGGACATGTTTCAACTACAAGTTAGAAGTTGAAGACGGCATGGGAGTTTGCAGCGTTTTTAGAGCATGATTAATGCAGGTCGCTTAGAGATTTTCTTAGAGAAAATTGCAATTAATTTAAATAAAAAAAATGTTTTAAACTGAGCGTCGACGCCTAAACAAGCGTAATAAGCATCGACGCCAAGTGACACGTGGCAGCTTGCGATTCGAGGGAGGTAAATGAGAAAAAAAACGCTTTCTTTCTCCTCTTTCCCTTCGCTCTTCTAGTCTTCTCTCTCTCTCTTCTCTTGATCTCCCATGGCGATTGATTGTGAATCGGACCTTTACTCGATTTTGCTCAAGAAATCAGGCGGAAATCATGATTTTTTTTGTGGTGTGGTGTGGTGTTTGTAATTATCTTGTGGTGATGCGACTCGGCGAAAAAATACACGAAGATCAACCAATTTGAATCAAGGATTTTGTATTCTATGGTAAGTTCTCTTCCACAATCGGCTATATATCGTGGTTAATTTTGGGTTTAGAGTTATGTTGTTGATTGGGCTTCCAAAATTTCGTTTCGTTTGGATGTTGATCAAACCACGATTTGTTCTTGATCAAAAACCACCATTGTTCTTCGTCCCTGTTTGTAATCTGTATCCATGGAAGTTTCTGCATTTAGTCTTGCTCGTTTCTTAGTGGTTTTTTGTAACAAGAGTTTACTTTTGCTTTATAAGTCTTAACTGCTTGTGAACATTTCGATTTCTCTTCTTCTTTTGATTTGGTTCTGTATTTGGTTAAGCCTTTCAGGTTTTACTTGGAGATGTTGGTGCTGGAAAATAGGGTCTTGTACTACGGTTTGTCAAAGATCAGTTTGTTCAATTCCAGGTTGGTGGAAGTTTCTTCAATGGTCTTCCTTGCCGTGTTGTTGTTATTAAATTTGACATTCTTTAGGTCACAGGAATCAACTCAGCAACGGTTGATCAAGGCTTGTTTTTGTTAATTGTACATGTTTTTTGGCTATCAACTAGCTTTGCTTTTTTGCTATTGTGTTGATTTCAGGTTAAAATGGGAGATATTAATCATGACGATGACATGAACATTGAGATGTGGAAGATCAAGAGAATGATCAAATCCCTTGAAGCAGCTAGGGGAAACGGAACCAACATGATGTCAATCATCATGCCTCCTCGTGATCAAGTCAAGTCTCTGGTGTTACCAAGATGATGTGTGATGACTGATTAGTATGGAACTGCATCAAACATCAATAGCAGAGTTCATGAACTGCAGACACAAACTATTGTCTAAGCTAAGTTACGGTTTAGATTATGACTTCGGGTTACTGGTTTTGAAGCTTTGTGTTTTGTTTTGGTCTAAATTCTCTATTTCAAACTTAAAATTTTTCTGTTTTTGGATGCATGTTCAATTGTGTATTCTTTGATTTTCCTACTTCTCACTCTTGTTTTCATAAAAAGTTGAATATTTTCCATTTGCTTGAGCTAAGCACTCTTGTTTTGGATTCTCCCATTAAAGAAGAGAAAACAATGAATTGCTAAAAAAAGTGCTTAAAACAACTTTTATATTAAATTATTAGCTAAGCGTCTCATATGGGATTCTGCGTTATACATGCTCTTAGTATTCTATACTAGTCAGATTGTGTATCTTCACTGTTTTGACTTCTTTGCTGAGATTTTGCATTTTATTTAATTTTAATTTTTTGGTATTGTGTAGTAAGGTCGACTGTTCTTTCTTATCAAAAACACAATTTCCTTGTTTCATTTCCATTCATATTCACGACCACACTAATCTCCAACAGGATTTCGGTTTTACGAAATCTATGGATGAATTGGATGGAACTCTGAAAAAAGAAAAACAGTGATGGTTTAGAATAAGATGAGATCTCAAGTCAGGCTTATGGATTAAAAGATGATTATATAATGTATACATATTTATTTATATATATGACTCCTAAACCTGGATCAAAGTTTGCTTTTAGGTTAACTAGCTAAGCGCACTTGCTACTAACACAACATGAGACATGACTTGCCCTATCTATGTTACAACAGGCGGATATTGTTTGGTAACTCTTGCCATGAAAAAGGCGAACATCCCTGACTAGAGAAAATAAATAATTTAGATGGCGCCTATCTATAATTATCTAAAAGGGGTTAACTAAAACTCAGAGACCACGAACACTGCCATTGCTGCTTTTCCTCTGCCTGACTAATTAGTTCCTCAAGTTCCTATCTAATTAGTGAGATTTTTAGCTCCTCCTTTCATGTACCTGCACAGTATGAGTATCAAGAGTCAAGACAGAGAGATAGATGGAATGTCATATCAATTTTGTTTCTTTCGCAAATGACACTATGTTCTTTGATTAACTTCATTAGAAGAAATGAGAGTTTGTTACTATACATGATGAGATTAACATATATACCTGAGCATTTTGACCAATCCCTGACATAGGAAACTGCATTTTCAAGAGAGAGAAAAACATACAAAGATATTTCAATAGAGAATATACGCAAAGCGTTTATTATGTCTAAAATTCTACTGAAACTACGCCTGATTAATTTCACTGATTCAGATATGTACCTGGCTATTTTGACCAACTGCCATTGACGGATACTGCATCTTAAAAATAAATAAAAAAGAAAAAAGACTTCAGGTTGGATGTTTTTTATCTGAATATTCAAAACGTTGGCAAAACTGTGGCTTATTAAATTTTACATTAGGTGGTTTATCTCCTTCTACAAGAATCAAATTCTGAAATGAAAAAAAAAAGTAAACAGATTAAGAGATATACACCTGAGCATTGTGGCTGACCCCTGGAGTTGGAAACTGCAACTCCAAATGGAAAAAAAGTAAAAAACGAAGTTAGAGACCACGTCAGAAAACTACTTGGATGTAACCAGTAAGAAAACGAAACCAACCTGTGAAGAATAAAAAGGCTGCTGTAATTGCTGGGTCTGATACTGCTGGTGAATCTGTTGTGGTTGTTGCTGCATCGGCTGGGAAGGCAGAGTCTGCTGTAAGTTCTGAGGCGGCTGCATAGTTGGCTTCTGCTGATGTTGTTGCTGTTGCTGTCGTTCGAACACTACCATTTCCTCAGGTTTTTCCCACTGCAAAACTCAATTATATCATGGCATGAATTGAAGAGCTTCAGAAGAAGAAGAAAATACACTTATAACAAAGAGAAGGAATTCTCCTCAAACTCGCAAGAATATATATTAAAGAGGAATCACGTTTCTCACCTTGCTTTCACCTGTTAGACCGTTGTAATAATATTTAAACCCATCCGGCGAGGTATGCTCAGTCCAGTTGCATTTGGCAGAAACAACGCTCTGACTTACTCCAGGTACAGGTGTTTGCACATAGCTAGCTGGTGTAGAAGCAGCGGTGCTAACAACTGCTGGAATTGCAGATCCAGCCCACTAATAAAGAAGCAGCCGAGAGGAACATGAGAATATTATAACACACGAAGAAATGAAAACTTAGATGGCTATCAGGAAATAATTTCAGGTTAAAACAGCAGCTTGAGGAAGACGCGACCGAGAGATGATATTCATACCTGCTGTTTACCAGCTTGGCCATTCTGTGAGACTGGTAAATTTTTGTTTGGTTGCTGCATGGACTGCACTTGCTGCTGCAGCTGAGAAAATGCTTGCTGTGATGATTGGAAGGTTGCTTGTAGAGTTTGAGTTTGCTTTGATAAGAGCTGAGCTAGCTCAGAAGGAGGATGCTGCGTCTCTTGTAGCGGTTGCTGCTGAGCACGAAGGGGAAATTGATCAGTTGCAGAAGACACATGTGTTGGACGCAGATTGATGTTCAAGGGAGTTTGAGGAGCAGTTGCACGAGGGACGTTTTGCTGTGTCGGCTGAGAGGTAGGCAACTGGCTGCTATAACCATAAGGATTCTGCAAGGGTGGTTGTTGTAAAGTGTTCATTTGTGTTTGTGGCCGACGGGGGAGAGCCTGTGGACTGGGAAGAGGTTTTTGTAATTGTGATAAATGCTGACCAGCTGCTCGGTTTTGCTGTGGAATAGAAACAGTTGAAACTCCGAACTTATATGTACAATGTTTTCAGATTTGCTTGATTGGATAAATATAGCTAAAGTACCTGTTGCGATGTGGCAGATGATGAAACTCCAGAAACTGGAAGAGGATTAAGGGGAGGAGCACCATAACCACCCAATTGACCGCCCTAATATTACAGAATGCCACATATACAAAAGCTCACATCAGAAGTAGACATCATTATATGTGTGCAGTATTTAGAAGTACGTGCAAAAAGATTATGTGCGTTACTTGTATGGATTTGTAGATCTAAGATGATATACATGATCATCAAGCTGTTCTCACCTGATTTGAAGGCAGTTTTGTCTGACCTGGTCTAGGGAAAAAGTCACTCCCAATACCACGGATCCCAGTATTACTAGGTGGGCCAATGTTTGGTGAATTTGGTGGACGCCACAGGTTTGTGCGGCTTACATCCCCACTAGGGTCACCAAGGTTAGATGTAGGCCTAACAAATAGAGACGGGGAGACCAGGATTGATTAGTCAAAATAGATATGTACTTGATGAGAATAATCATGATCTCCTTTCACCCCAGTTACCTTGGTCCTGAAGCTTGAAAACGAGGCCCTGAACCAAGTCCCACAGCAGGTGCCACATCCCTGGAAACAGAAACTACTTATGGATATATAGAAAGCAAGGCTAGCATTCCAGTAATAACTGGATAAGGAAGAAGGTTCCCAACTCTCTACCCATGCCCCAAAAAATTCTCCATAAATGTTACTCAAGACAGAACAAAGAATGAAGATATAAAAGCATTAGAAGGAATCAAAATATTGTCTCAAAGGCAATACCTCGACTCGCCAGGTTTAGGCCTCTTTGGATCAGCAAACCGAACAATCAATGGCTGATTGCAACCCTGGAGAAGGGATAGAGGCCAGTCAACAAGTCAAGCCCAAAGGGTGATAACGTGAGAAACTGAGATACTTATGTGATTCACAGCTTACTCTCATCGTATAAGTTCCATTGAGACCATTGATAGCTGCCATTGCCGTCTCTTTACTTGAATATTTAACAAACCCACATCCTACATGAGTAAAAAACATAGGTTGACCATCACAACACCATCACGTATCAAACCATTCATAGAATCTAGTAGCAACCAGACATACCACGACTCTGTCTATACTCATCACGCATGAGGTAGACATCTTCCACGCGACCAAATTGCAAAAATATCTGTTCAAGCAACAACAATCACACAGTTCATCGAAGGAATACAGGGAAAATTGACACAAATGATTCAGAAGGTAGACATTCACATCATTATCGATTTTATATACGGAGGGAAAAAAATTGACGGTCAAACAGTTAGATCTACTTGAAAGAAGAGAATACTCAGTTACTAAATGTAAGCGCTTGCATAACTGACAGAACTCTTCAAGCCATGGGCCCTTTAGGAAAATTAATAAAAATTATCATAAAATCATTTTATCAACCAAGGCAACAGTGCAAATTAACATCTAAAAATGGAACTGTTCCCTGTTCGGTAAATCTGCCATTAGTAACGTCTTCCATCAAAAGTTGGGATATGAGACATACCTCCTCAATTTCTTTTTCAGTGGCTTGCTTGTTTACTGAACCCACGAAAAGCTTAAACTCTAACGCACCTTCAAAAGAAGGGAATTAAATCAGTTGTGACTTGAGAGTGAGGCTAAGAGAACAGAGAAAAGGATCCGTTTCCTTAAAATTCATATCCCATATTATTTCAGTTCTTGTAATTTGAATTTATAGTGTACGGTAATCCCCATGTAAACCAGACATTAAAAGCCACATTAAGATAATAACTTCGGAAGTTGATTACCGATGCGTTCTCTCTCCCCATCAGCATATCGAACTTGAACAGGGCCAGTTCCCTGGGAATCAAAACATAAAAGGTGAAACAACCTGTATTTTCCTATTCTTGATAAGAGAAAGCTTCGGTGGCAATTACCCCAGGAAGAGTGATCTGATTGTGCAACGCTCTAATGGCTCTATCCGCGTCTTCAGAAGTTGCATATTTTACAAAACAACAGCCTGCATTAAAGACTGATACTTAAGCTGTCTGTTCATGGTTCAACTTTTCCGTCTATCAACATCAAGAGGTACGAGTAATATAGTTGCATTACAAGCGCCACAACCACATTCTTGAATAAATAAACGGCACTCAAAGCACATAAGTTCAGTAGAAAAATCATAAGACATATCCTGACAGCCTCCACTTAGATCATTGGAGTAAAGTTGTTGAAGAGAATACTAATATCTTCAAACGGAGCATAAGGGGAAAATATTTAAAAATGGAGACTGTTGGTAGATAACATATCTACAGATAATATCCATGCACTGGGGGAAAAAAAATTAGAAAAATCTACACGTACGTACCAACATAAAACATGGCTACAGGACCAAGGTAAACGATTCAGCATGGAAAAATATTCTCAATCATCGCTACTAACAGATAATATAATTAAAACCAGAACAACATATCACATTTTTGTCACCATACATCACGCGACTTAAGAAGATAAACTACAGTTATCAAGAAAACCATAATCCAAAGGTATTGCATAGGAAACAATACCAATTTTAGAAAAGAATTACACTTGCTTCATGTAATACATAATTAGGATACTGCCTGATGCTGATCGATGCAAGGAGAGCGAGTGAAAGTCAAGTTGTATTATTTAACATCAATAAGTATTCTGAGGAATTAAGGCACCACCTAATATTTCACAGGACTGAAGGAAAGAGTTGCGTGGAAAATACTGCATAAACCAAACCATCTTGTAAAACTACCAAATGAGTAAAGGCTTTATGCCACCACAATCAAATGCACTTGTATGCAATTCACAAAGGTGTACCAGATATAGATACAATAACTTTTTAGAAAGTCGAGAATTAATAAATAACTATGTAACACATACAATCACGTCATTCGCCATCTACTAATGCTTCATACTGACAAGATAAAGACAGAACTTAATGGAATTGTACAAGAGGAAACTCAATAATGAGGATTAGACCACTAAACAAACTAAAGAATAACATACGAAACAAATCCATCATCAGACATCTCTTTCACATAAATATAAGTCACCATACAAAAACATAAGAGCTACTTAATACAAAATGACGAGAGATAATATATCACATCACAAACCGTCCAAGCAATAGAGAGAGGAGAACATACAACAAATCCACATCTCAGGCCATTCAAAGTGAGGGAAAAGGAAGAACAGTTATCGTAGTAAACTTAACCATCCACAACAAAATAAAGGGAAAAGGGCATTCATTCCAGTATCAAGCATCCAAAAAGGTAAACGGAATTCAATCATCAACCAATAGAGAGAGCACATCGAAAACTGGACGTAGATACGCCAAACATCCAACATTATATAATTAATAAGAATGGCCAGATCTTGACCACAAGGACTGGCAATAAACCAAACCATCTTGTAAAACTACCAACCTAAACATACATTCAACCACAATATTTTCAATTCACTGAAAGGAAGAGTAAGAGAAAAATTGAATTCGGTAGCCGCGTTCTTTAAACCAATAACCCACTATAAAGGAAATAGCAAAACATCTGTTAAGTTTTCTGTACATTTAACTTCAACGCTAAAACACCCTCAATAAAGTCTGCTACATTTTTCAAACACATCTAAAGTTCTAGAATAGACACAAGTAGCGGAACATATTTGACCAACAATACATTTCTTAGCAAGCTACACGAGGGAGCCTTCTTCTGTGATAAACGAACACAGAGGCCAATGATGAGACTGGGGTTGCTTCCCGTCAGCCTTTTCAGGAGACCTGAAACTTAAAAAATAATATAATCACTAGTAAAATGGAGATAAACATACCTTGCTGCTGTCCAGTTCTCTTGTCCTTGATCAAAGCAACCTCAAGAACATTTCCATGTTGTTCGAACAAGGGACGTACCTGGAATATAAAAACCAACAGATCAAAATTAGAAAAAGTAATCTCAACAAGAACGGATTTGATACGAAAAGAGTATATATGAGCTTTGTGGTGTCAAATGTGCACACATAAAGAACAATTAAGAAAGAAAGAAATTACAGATTAACTCACTTCTTCTTCTAGAGCTGTCCTCGGTACTGAGCCAACAAAAAGCTTGACAACACTAGCACGATCAGAAACATCTGCAAAACAAATTACCAGCTAAGGATGCTTACATATGAAGTAGGGAAATAGCTCTGATTATCACATACAAGTGAAAATGGAAAGATCAATGAAACACCTTCAACAATCGAATTACATGAAAAGTAGATTACACTGCGTTACTCTATCTTTGAATCCAACAAAAACAAGAGATCATCATCGTAGAGTGAGCCCAAGCTTACCAGTTCCAGTAAAGTTGCCAGGCTCCGAGAGAGGACGCCCTCTTTTCTGACCCGAAAGAGGCTGCTGGGCCGGCGGTGAAGTCAATCTTACAGAGTAATCAGGCTCCATTAATTTACCGATCGGTGCCGGAAATACCCTGCCGCCGGAAAATCCCCATTCATCTGGACTTTCCGATGGCGGAAACATCACGGGCCCTCTAGGTCGAATTCCGCTAGCTCCGTCAGAACCCATCGGCCGAAAACTTCCACTATCGCGAGGAGGACCCATCGGCTGAAAATCGATTCTACCTGGAGGAGCGTTGATCGGGCGGAAACCTCCACCTTCTCCGTGAACATCACGATCCGGAGGGCTGTCACCTTCCCAGTGTCGACCGCCATTTCCTCCGCCCCCAATTCCAACTCGATAACTGCTCGGGCTGTTTCCCCGACGACGGTGGTGGCAAAAAGCCTCATCATCTTCGTCGTAGCGTGTCATGGAGGGAGAATCTGAGTGACGAGAGGGGCCTCTGGGATGAGCTCGGTGGCTATGGTATGGGTCCTCGTAACCGCCACTCCCATGGCGATCCCCTCGGTGCCTATCCAGCTTGACGATTTGGGGCAATTAAGACAGAATTGCAATTCCAGTCCAAGGATTTGGAACCCTAGAGGAATCGGGATTTGTGTGAGACAAACGAGAATGTAAAATGGATGAGATCAATAGTTTGCTGGAAATTTTGATGTTGGTCCGAATGTTCACATTCACAAAGTGACAAGCGTACTCTGCGATTTGAGCGGTATAAATACAGTAAAACCGGTCTTGATTGTGCCTGGCCGGTGGTACAGTTGAAATTTGAACCGATGGACTTTATTTAAATGTGCGGTTGAATTATAGCGGCCTTGTAAATTTCTAAACTACACATTTATTATGGTATCTATTTTCAAAACTACATTTTTTTCAATATGCAAAAGAATTCTAAACTCTAAACTCTAATATCTAACATTGAACTCACTCTCTGATCGTGCACATGCTCAAGCAGTTTGGGGTTGTTCTAATCTAGCTCACTATGAAGACACATTTGGAGGACTCACTTCAGAGAATGATTCAGAATTATCAAGCCGTTGCAATTTCAGAAGAGGTACGCCTTAAACCCTTTTGGATTATTTGGTTTCTAAGGAAACCAAGGAATGAATTTATTTTCAATAAAAGGAATGCACATCCTATGGAGGTTGCAAAGCGAGCTTATGAGCGAGTAATGGAATGGATAGCAGCAACATCAAGTGTCCAAGTACAAACTAATAGTTTCTTTATCGATAGAGGTACTACTTGGGAACCACCTCCACAAGGTTGGTTGAAGTGTAACTTTGATAGTAGTTTTCATTCTGATAGTGAACATAGTGGTTTAGGTTGGATTGTCAGATGGGATCATAAAGGTGCATATATCGACTCTGATTTTGCTCATATTGAAGGTATCCATTCGTCGTTGCAAGCAGAAGCATCAGCGTTTCTACAAGCTCTCCAAATGGTTTGGGTTAAAGGATGGCGAAATGTTTGGTTTGAAGGAGATTGTTTACCATTGGTCAATATCGTCAATATGAAGAAGGAAAATATAGAGCTTGCCAGCCTTCTAGAAGATGTTCGATATTGGATGTCTAAACTTCCAAATTGTTCTCTTGGTTTCATCAATCGAGAAAGGAATAGTGCTGCAGATAAAATAGCTAAATATGCGTATTAATCTAATATTTTCTTTAGTTCTTTTTACCTGCCACCAGCTTGGTTGGTAAACTTTTTTTTTTTTTTTTTTGAACAACTTTGGTAAACAATTTGTATTATCCTTTCAAATCTAATTCTATTTAAAAAACTCTAAACCCTAAAATATAAATCCAAAACCCTAAAATCTAACATTGAACTTTTAAATCTAAACCCTAAACCTCCAAATCTAAATCTTAATAAAAGATTAGTTAACCCAAACATATATATTAAAATTATGAAAATGTGTATTTTTGAAAATTGCCACACTAGAGGTGTAGCTTTGAAAATTTACACTTCAAAATGTGTATTTCTTAGAATTTCTCTTTTCAATATTCTTCTGATTTGTGCTTATTTTTCGTTAATGGCTTGAAAGTTATGATTATTGATGGAATATGTATATCTTTGCAAATTGAAATAGGAAAGAAAAGGGAAGATTTGTGAATATAGGCTAAAAAAACTAACAATTTGTCCCCATTTACATTTTTTTGAAATATATCATTTTTACTTAAAAATACTCTTGTAAAATGTATATAATTATGAAATAAATATTTTAAAATGTCATTTAAAAAAAAAGAAATTCATAACAATGGAAGAAAAATATGAAGAATGTTATGGCATTTTTATTTTTTAAAAGATGTCATAAGCATATTTTTTAAAAGATGCCTTAAATTTTTTTTTTTTAATTTATACGTATTCAAACATTGATAGTAAAATTTATACTTGTTGCCTTCTATTCTACTAACAACAAAATATGATTTCTACATTGTGTTCAATAGTCTATGATTTGTAGACATGGTGTATAACTTATGTTCATATTTCTACAAATGAAATCAATGATGTGTTCATACTTTGCATGTTTTTAGCACTCGATTTCATATGTTTTTGCATTCATAACCATTCGTTTGCCACTAACAACTGTTTTTTAGTTTGTAATAACTAACATTTCCTATTTATAATACAAATTAATAAAGTTTTTTTATTTAATTTTCAACTCTTATTAAATCAATACAATAAAACCCCCTATGTCTCTCCATATGATGACACATTGGTTTTTTAAGCTTTCCGAAGCTGACACCACATCTAAAACGTCCAGCCAATCAGAACATTTTAAATAATATCACTCAGCAAATTTTTGGTTTACTTGCCATGTATTTAGTCCGGTTTGATTGATTTTTTTATTTCATTTACACCATCCCGTCCCCATTTTTTCATTACATGGTTTGGTTTTGAGTCTGCATAGCAAAGGTCATGATACTAGTTACATATGTTTTAGTAAGATAATTATTATTAACTAAATTTATAGTAAGATAATCACTATATATATAATTTTATTGATGAAAAAAATATGTGCAATGTCTATGAGAAATAAGTAAATATAAATCACAAAATATATTGTTGATATCACTTGAGACACCAGTGTAGTGTGTATTTGGATGATCTTCAAGTCATAAAATGTTTTTTTGAAATTTGGAGTCTCAGTTTTTATGAGTTGCGTATGTAAAGAGTTTTTATGTTTGGTCTTTTCATGTCCCACCCACCCAGATTTTAGTAGAATCAAGTTTTTTTCACACAGCCGCGATACAGATCAAAACGCAGCGTTTTGGAGCGTTCTGATCGGTACGTCCCAATAAGCCAACACTCTATTCTTTAATCGGTTAATTTCCTAAATTAGCTTCACCATGTTCGTTTGGGTTTTGAAACATTGAAGAAGCAAGCGTGGCTTCTGGGATCTAGACGAAGGTAAAGGCTCTTCGGCTACTGCTGATGGTATTTCAATTTCGATTTCATATAGTTTCAATCTCCCAGCGAATGAGAGTGTTTTGTAAACCCTAAATCAAGTATTGAACCTGGTTCGCACCGGAATTTGTTTTTGCTCTGAGCTCCCTTTTTAAATCCACTGTTTCTGGCGTTTGATTCTGTATTATGCATTCGCTTTGCCCCAATCGTCTTTGGCCGTAGCTCATTTCTTTTCTCCTTTTTTTTTTTCGTTTTGCTCTGGTTCAAGGTTTCGAGCTCACTCTGCTAGAAAACCCTAGAATTTGATCTTGTAACTCCCCGTGGAAATTTGGAAAGGACGATATCTCAGAACCTCCCAACGAAAGACTCATCTTGAATTCTTAATCGGAGCAGACTCAAATTTTCTCGCTCGTCACTGTCTTCTAACGGTTAGTGGCCCAATTCATTGTATAATTCTTTTCTCATGGTCGATTTGGGGGCTGGATTTGTAGTGATATGCGTGGTTGATTTCTCAGGCGAGAAGCTCTGTTCTCGATTTTGGGAGTCTTTTAGTTAGTATTGCATTGAGTTGAGATTGGTTTTGAGGAATAAGAAAGAGTTAATATGGATGGAAAGGGGACGAAATGTGGTTCCAAGAGAGGATCTAAGATTGCTCAGTTTGACGCTGATGATGATGATGATGAACCTATCGGATCTCTCTTAAAGGTTATGAAGCATAAAACTGCCAAGAAGAATAAAGTTGAGACAGAGAGTATGGGTAAACAGAGGAAGAAACAGGCTGTGGAGAAGAAATCGAGTGATTCTGAAGATATGGATGACACCTTAGCCAGTTTTAGGAAGAGATTGAAGGGGCAAAAGAAAAGTGTTGGATCTGGAATTTCAAGGATTAGGAACCACAAGGATCTTCCTCCGATTGACAATGTAACGAGTTCTGATTTGAACTTGAGTGAGGAAGGTCATGATATGCTTGACGATGCATCTGAGCTTGGCATGGATGGTGGTACTGTAAAGGAAAGGCTCTTGCATGATGTCTATAAACCCAAGGTTATATCAAGAACAAGATCAACGATTGATTCTAATGAGGCTGGGGCTGGGGCTGAATCGCTTTGCTCAAAGACACTGGCTGTCAAGAAGATGGTTGATTCAACTTTAGAATGTTACGCTCACAAGCCTCTCTTGGATTGCAGCACGAAGAATAAAAGAGTGAATTGCATATCCGAAAACGGTGCTTCTAGTTCTATTGAAAAGTGTACTTCAGAAACTGGAACTCTCCTGCATAAGTTTTCTGGTAAGGATGAGGCAGCCTCTCCCGCTCATGAAAAAGTTGAAATGCCCATGACACTATCCAGCGAGAAGGAAGCAGATGTCTTTCATCAATTTCCAGATGATGAATCCAAGAGACTACTGCCAAATGTCCGTGGAGAAGTTTACCCTCCTGTTGCTAGAAAAGAAGTTGCAGTTATTTCTCCTGATCAGCCTTTACACTTGGGAGAGCCAGAATCAGAGTCTGGTTATATCGGAGAGAAACAGTTAGTTACGTGTGATTGTGGCATCCAAGTGAATTTTGAGGATCGTTCCTTTGAGTCTAATACTCAGGTTGCTATCTGTCAGAAATGCAAGTATTCTTCAAACCATGCTGCTTCTAACAGAGGTGGTATCCCAGTTACTACTCTCAAAGATGGAACTGCTGAAGATTCCCCGGTTTCAGTAACTCCCTGCGAAGATGAAAATTCCCGGGGTGAAGCAATTTCATTACCGAATTCTGGGAAGCCATCCACCTTGCAACGTCCAGAGCGCATTGCTAAAAAGCGTAAGCTTGGAAACATGGTGTATGAAGGAGATATGAACTGGGAGAATGAGCAAGGCTTTCTTGATTGTCAAAGTGACAAGTCCTTTAAAGGGAGCGACAAGTGTGATTTTGTTCCATTTATTTCCAAGGAAACTGAACTTGGTAGAGCAGCTGCGGTGGCAGCTGGACTTAAAGCCCAGTCGGTAAGTCCAATTGAGAA